CTCAGCAGCGAGGGTCTGTGCTGCCACCGGACTTCAGCCCTGGAACTTGACCTGAGAGCTCCCCTGGAGCCCTGTGATTTTCCTATCCAGCTACTACCAAACTTGGAAGTGTCCCTGTCTCCCTGCATCACCAAGCAGCCTCTTTGGACCACTTCTGAGCACAGAAATGCCTAGGCGCTCACCTGCCCAGGCACAATCTTCCTGCTCACACTTAGTTCCCAGGGGCAGTTCTTGTGTCCCTCCTAGCCAGTCCGAGATTCATCCATGTGACAGCTCAAAATGGCTGTTACCAGGATCTACTGCTGTCTGACACACACACAACGACAAAAGAGAACAACTCAGGACAAAATTTTTGTTTCTGAATTGGGGTCCCACTGTGCTGTCTAGGCTGGTCTCCAACCCTGGGCTCAATCAATCCTCAGTGTCCTGAGCAGCTGGGACCACAGGTGTGGGTCACCACGCCCGACCGTATCATCCTCAAGAGTGCAGGTTGATTGGAGTCTGCTGGGCCGTTCTCTGCTGCACGTGAGTTGGGCTGGGACCAAGGTCAGCTGGGGCAGGACAGGGCTGAGGCATCCAGGGTGGGCCACTCACATGAAGTGTGGGAATGTGCATGTGTGTAACTGTGTGTGTGTGTGTGTGTGTGTGTGGGAGGAGCTGTTCCGTTTCTGAGTGTGAGGACATGTATTTGGTGGAGATGGAGAGTTGGATAAGACAACGAATGGAAAGTACCAGGCACTGGATGTGGAGAAAGGTTTGTTTGATAAAGGCTGATCATCCTCCCGTCCCCTTCCTGCCTGTCAGCAGCCTTGACAGATGACACTTCCGTGATAATGGTGATTTGGGAATTTTCCAGATGTCAGTACCGGGGCCACAGCGGACCCCCGCCTTGCACACCCTGCTCCCCAGCCCCATGGTGACCAAACCACACCTGGAGCCTCACGGATGCCCCCTCCCAGGGAAGACTCCCTGGCAGGGTGGGGTCGGCAAAAGCCATCTCAGCATCAGGAGGGCATGGGGCACAGTGACAGCGCCCCCGCCCCTCTGTGCTGTCCCCTTCCACAGGGACTGGTCCTAGGCAGCAGGAGACCGAGGTCAGCTCGCAGCCTCCAGCCTGCTACGGTTGCATGGTGAATTCTGAGGATAATGTGTGTGTTTTTCTCCCCTGATTGCTGCTGAAATCTCCTGCCTGTTTATCAAATCGCAGCCATGCTTCACAGCCCTCTGCTCTTTGGCTTCACTTTTCTCCTCCAGAAGAGGAGAACAAGGAACTGCTCCGGGGGATTTCAGCTTGGGTGATGAGCCGGTGACCTCAGAAAGCACCTGGCCCCCACCCAGGCAGCATGGGGCTGCAATCCCCTCCCCGCCCCCCCAAGCCCCGCACATTGGCTGGGCTGCACCATTACAGAACCCTCTTTCACATGCCCCACAAGCGTGGGTGACAAGTGTCTTCTGTCAGATCAGGGACACCCACAGCAAGAGGGAAACACAGAGACCCAGGAGTCAGGCCAGGGCAGTGCCTCAGGACAGGCTGGGAAGCAGGGAGGGGAAGGCCTGTGTGCACAGGGGCCCAGCATGTGCAAAGGCTCTGCATCATGGGTGTGCAGGGTGGGCTGGGCCTCTCTCGGGGAGGCTGGGGCCAGGCCTGGGGAGAGGGGAGAGGAACGCAAGGGTGCCGATGGCCTAGCAGCTGAGCTGAGAGTTCTGATCTTACCCTGAGGCCACAAGAAGCCACTGAAAGTGTTGCATGGCTGGGTTGGGTGGGCCTGGACACCACAGGACTGCATGTTCTCCGGAAGCTGGGTGGGCAGGGAGGCAGGGGCGTGTGCACTACAGCGGCTGCCTGGAACCTGTGCCTTTATTTGATACCAGTCTCCCCAAATCCCTGTCCCTTCCTCATGGCTGCAGATAGTTTCTGGTGTGCGTGCGCGTGTGTGTGGTCTGCTAATGCCAGTTTTGAATTGTTTCCCTCTTGCTCTGACATTTCCATAGTGCCTGACCACAGCACCCACCTGTCTCCTCCAGCCCCTCCTCCCTGGCTTGGGCCGGGCGACCCCAGGTGAGCACAATGACCAGGTTCACGGATCACAGCTGCGCTCCTGCAGCCATGAGTCCAGTTCTCCCCAGCAATGGTGTCATGTCAGGGCGGACCTGGAGGGGGCCCTGGGAACAGGGGAGGCTGGACCACCTTTTCCTGACCCCTGGGCATCCCGAGCCATCCTATGAGCAGGACACAGATGTCCTGGGCAATCGGCAGTGACAAGGGCTGTGCTGGGCTGAGCTGGGCCACCTTCTTGCTCCCCATTGCAGCAGAAGCCCGAGAGCAGCCCCCAGCCTGTGGCCACCACTTGTCAGTCCTCTGCCTTTGTCGCTTAGCCCTCTGTCACCAGGAGTTCCCTTGCTTGCAATAAAACATGTCCCTAAGTCAGCCACTGCATCTGCTCAGGTTGTAAGCGGAGCACGCCTGGTGGTGACTCAAACTAGAGCTCTGCTCTAAGATGTGGAGAGAGCCCTGCCGGCCTTTACCTCAGCCTTTCTCTGACCAGAACTGGAGGCCCTGTCCCCTGCCGTCTCTGACTTGCATTTGCAGCCCTGCTCCTCTAGGGGGAGCCGGGTGGCTCACTTCCTCCCAGGCTCCTGTTCTTAGCCACCCTCCTCCTCTGGTCCAGATCCACCCAGGTAGAAGGGCTTCAAAGCCCACCCCTCCCGAGCCAGGAGCGGGACAGGGGCACAGAGACGGAAACCTGAAAGTCACTCCCAGTCATATGGCTGCAGTCTTGCATCAACCCTGAGGTGAGCCATTAACCTGCTAATTACCAGCCAATTAGCTCTGATTTCCACAGCTGCCTCTCGCCTTTTATGTCTGCTTCCCACTTCTCATCAGGGCTGGAGGCACTGACACCCCCTTCCCCCACTGTCCTTGGGGGAGACATAAAAGGACGCCCTGCAATGGCTCCACACAGTCCCGGCATTCAGATCTCAGCAGCGAGGGTCTGTGCTGCCACCGGACTTCAGCCCTGGAACTTGACCTGAGAGCTCCCCTGGAGCCCTGTGATTTTCCTATCCAGCTACTACCAAACTTGGAAGTGTCCCTGTCTCCCTGCATCACCAAGCAGCCTCTTTGGACCACTTCTGAGCACAGAAATGCCTAGGCGCTCACCTGCCCAGGCACAATCTTCCTGCTCACACTTAGTTCCCAGGGGCAGTTCTTGTGTCCCTCCTAGCCAGTCCGAGATTCATCCATGTGACAGCTCAAAATGGCTGTTACCAGGATCTACTGCTGTCTGACACACACACAACGACAAAAGAGAACAACTCAGGACAAAATTTTTGTTTCTGAATTGGGGTCCCACTGTGCTGTCTAGGCTGGTCTCCAACCCTGGGCTCAATCAATCCTCAGTGTCCTGAGCAGCTGGGACCACAGGTGTGGGTCACCACGCCCGACCGTATCATCCTCAAGAGTGCAGGTTGATTGGAGTCTGCTGGGCCGTTCTCTGCTGCACGTGAGTTGGGCTGGGACCAAGGTCAGCTGGGGCAGGACAGGGCTGAGGCATCCAGGGTGGGCCACTCACATGGCTAGAGCCCTGGAGGGGGCTGGAAGGCTGGCTGAGTTGGAACACGGGGACAGCTGGGGCCCCCTCCCTCTTCCTCTCCCCTCTCCCCTGCCCTGGTGGTCCACGGTGTCTCCAGCACAGAGGCCCAGCTTCCTGCGAATGGCTTGGGGCCCCCAAACGTGAAACTCCAAGTTTCTAGGACATCTTAAAGCTTAAGCCCACAACTGGCCA